TCTATAAAGCTTGAGGACATCGAGCTTATTAACTGAGAATAAAGTGATAAATCTTTTGAGGTTATAAGGGTTCCTTAATATTGATAACTGTTAACACAATTTAAAAAAAAACAATAGCAAATCATTATTCATCGGAATATAATATAATATTAATTTCATAACTTACTATGAAAATATAAAATAATATTATAATATTGAATTTATAGAAATTCTATTTCTATGAATATATAAGTACATAGTCAGAATAACAAAAGGTAATTATTATATATTATAGATATAATGTTATATGTATATAGAAATGTTTATCAAAGATAACTGTAGAATCTTAAATTATCAATTTTTGTAACCTAACCTCAAAAAAGAACTCTTATAGTCTATCTCTCTCGTTGATGAACTTTCTCTCTTCCCTAAAAAAGACCGCAACCTCTTGCGAAGCCACTATACACATTTCCTATCCATTCTTATATTATCTATGGCAGATTTCTTTTATTATGATGGCAAATTTTAATGAAATGGCAATGTTATTTGCAATTGATAATGTTGAAGAGCATGAATGCGCAATTAATGTACGACAAACACGAAGGAAAGAGACAATTTCGGATCCATTTGATATATCAGATAGAGTGACTCTAACTGATAGACTGTTCATAAAAAAATTTAGACTTCCTAAAGACCTTTTAAAGTATTTAATTGAACTTTTACGACCATATATAGTTTCAAAAAGCCGCCTGTCTGCTATTGATTTAAATACAAAAGTTAGTGAATAAATTATACTCTAATTGATATTTCTTTCAGTGTCGGTCAGGTGATCGTCCGGGGGTCCTTGTGTATTTTTAGTTATTGGGGCCTTAATTAAATGGGAAAGAAATAAAAAAAAAAACTGTTATTTTACTTGCGATTCTCCCGTATTTTTTAAGTCAGCCTATAATGTTAATTAGTATTTTTGATGCTATTGTGATTAAAGTAATTTATTTTACTATTAGACATTAGTACAACAGTAAGTTAAATTAATTTTTTCCAAAAAAATTACTTTTGAAATTATTAATAATCAATTTTTTGTAAAGGGACCCATTCATTAGYCAGACCGACAYTAGTTATTTTTCATAGTTTTCGCATTATATTATTGTGTAAATATATTAGATTCTAGTAACGTTGAATTTTTTGGCTACTGGATCATACCAGTCACCAACTGGTAATAGTAAGTTTATAGTCTTATCATAACCGTCTGTATCTCGGTGTATAAGTGAAGTTGTAGAGGCACTAAACCGGTCAGAAATATTTGACAAATGGGTTAAGTTTCCTAGTAACCTGAATGAGCTGTCTGAAATCCGTAATGGGTAACTTTTAAATTTTCTTTCGAATATTTCTAATAAATGTTTAATAAGATGTCCAATATTATTACAGTTTTTATAGAGAAACTGGATTTCCTGGAGTAATAGAATGTATTGACTGTACTCATGCAGCGATTGTACCTCCTTCAAATAATTTAAATTTGAATKAAAATTAAAATCCCGAATACATTTATGTGAACCGTAAGGGATATCATTCCATAAATGTCCAATTGGTAAGTAATCTTTCAAACCTTATTGTTTTAAGGTTACAGTGTAAGTGTATGAATATTGTATAACTAAATAAATATTTAAACTCAACTTAAGATTTGTGATTTAAAATTAAGAGTTTTAAATGTGATCGCACTATTTCCTGGCAGTGCCCACGACACCCATATATGGAACAATAGTTCTGTTTTACCAGTAATGCAAGAATTACACAGACGCAATCATCATAACTTTTATTTATTAGGTAAAATACCTACACTCTTAACATTGTATTTGAAATATAAATGATAAATTGTTTCTAGTTAATAATATATTTATCTAAAAATATTATTAGGTGATTCCGGATATCCTTTACGTCAATGGCTATTGACACCAATTAAAAATCCTACAACAGACCCAGAAAAATATTACAAAACCAAAAACAAATGTCAACCAGAAGTATAATTGAACGTTGCAACGGGGTGTTGAATATGCGATTTAGGTACCTAAATCTGTATCTAATGTCCATGTTATATACAATTTTAACACCAAATATTTTTTTTTTTATAGATGCTTATTAAAAGATAGAACTTTACATTATAAACCAGAAAAARCATCATCAATAATAAATGCATGTATAGTTCTACATAATATGTGTATTACTAATAATATTCTTTTGGATGAACATGACACTCCAGAGTATGATAATTTGGGTATGATGGAAGASCAAGAGATATTAGCCGACAATAATCGTAATTTAGACTTAGCTCTTGGTTAGACAACATAGGGAAAAAATTGTAACATACTTATTTCAAAGACATGTATAAATTTGATTAATAACATTTATTATACTTCTTATTCAAAATAACTGTGTGATATTTGTTTATTATCTGCTGACTAGTTAAATTCAGTTTTTAACATTTAGTAAATTAATACATTATAAATAATAATAACAAATATAATTAAAACCCTATTTTACCTAATCCTTTGTGGTAATTTCAAATGATTTTCAGCCTTCACTTTCTTAATATTATGGTATTGATAATTGCTCAGTCAATGTAGTAAGTACATTTGTTAGGTTCTTAAATATGACATTTTTATCTTCCATCAGTTTCATTTTTTTTGCATAATATGCTGCTTTCAAGTCATATTTTTTCTCACAAATACTGTATAGGTTATTTGCAGCTCTATTACTTGCAGCTAACCTAGCTGCAGTAGACATTTTCTTTATTATATCTAAAATATAATAAGAATTATATTACTTTACTCTATCGTTATGACTATGAGTATGATAGGAATGATAAAAATTTAAATATTACCTGATTTAGATGAAAATGGTGCAATGATTGGCTGTTTATCATTCACCGCTATCGGTTTAGGGGCAGTGATTGAGTGATTTTTGTTTTCATTGTC